ACTAAGTTTAACCTCTCCTTATATCAGTCACTATCAAAAAATCATATGGCAACTAAAGAGAGAACTAAAGGAGGATGGCAACTAGTTATGTATGGTAAATACAGACAAACTCAAAGGTATGAAGCTATGAAGGATGGTAAGGATATCTTCACTCTATTTGTTGATAACATACCAATGTCCATGAATCCAAAAGGACTGTATTCTTGGTTTATGAAGTTTGGGGTAATTAAGGATGTTTTTCTCCCAAACAAAACAAGGAAAGCAACAAAGTCCAGGTTTGGATTTCTCAAATTTGATTGTCCAGTGGCACTGGATGTTGCGACTTAAAAAACAAATAGTATCTGGTGTGATGACATGGTTCTCAAAGTAAAGAAAACAACTTTTGGAAAAGGATCTAGAACTGAAAAGACAATAGCCATAAGCAAGGTTGGTGGAAAGTTCAATGAAGATGGAGTGGATATGACTAGGAGGATGATCACAGGGAAAAAATCATACGCAGAGGTGTCAAGAAATGGAATCGAAGAGAGAATCAAGACTTAACTATCATGGCATACGAGGTGGGAAATGGGTGGTTATATGATAGTGTTATTGTTAAGCTGAAAAGCTACCATGCCTTATCTAAGTTTCAAAATGTGGTTCCATAAAAAAGGGTCTAAGGACATTTTGGCAAGGAAGAGTGGAGGAAGAATGGTTGTTTAATCTTTCGATTCAAATGCAATTATGAAGGAAATGCTAGTACTAATTTATGATTACCTTAAGGAACGGTGTGATTATGTCACTCAATGGAAGAAATGGATGTATTTGTAGCAAGAAAGAATGGTTTGGCTAACCTGCTATGGTGTGCCACTAAACCTATGGAGCACTGATGTGTTCAACAAAATTGGAATTTTATGGAGAGAGATGGTGGTCTTAGATGAAGAAACCTCAAACTCTTTATCCTTCAAGTGTAGGCAGGTGAAAATTGCTACAAAAACTATGAAGTTTATCAACACAGTTGTGCAAGTGAAGTGTAGAGATAATTTCTATCCAGTAAGAATTTGTGAAGAGCAAGTCATGCTAACCAAAGTTACGGAATCATGTAATCATGTTGTGCATCTAAGAAGAGAGGAATTGTATAGCTCCAATGAAGTTAATGAGCATAATCTTGACAATGGAGATAGCAAGGAAGGAAAAGATGAGGGCATGGACGGCAGGGTGCATGATGATGTGGACAAATGCGATGAAGTGGCACCTACCCAAAAGAATGAGCTGGAGTTTTAGCAGAACAAGTGTAAAAGGAAAAAGGAAGGATGGTTCATCTTCCTCAAAAGTGGAAGAGACACAGTGTGAGCTCATGAGAAACCTAAATGTTAGAGAAGCATGCAATGAAATCACTACAGGGACAAATTTGAATGCCAATCAGATTCTTAATAAAGCAAATAAGGAAGGGTAGTCAGAGGCCAACCCAACTGGGTTCATGATAAGCCTTAGTGGATCTGGGGGAATTGAGCCTGGAATAAATCTTGAGGTGGCTTTAAATGAAGTCCAAAAGGTAGGGGATTTTCTTGGGCCTAGAGGAGTTACTGATGGCTATACCATCGTTCCCACTTACTATACCTTAGTGGATCTGGGGGAATTGAGCCTGGAATAATAATGAAGTTCAAGCCCAAATGGCTATACCATCGTTCCCACTTACTATCCAGCCCATACCTAACTCAATGAAAGTAGTTAGGGAGAAAAGAAGCTCCATAGCCTGTAGTAGTCCGTTATTTGCAAGGAGGCTCACTACCAGAAAAGGAAGTAAGCATACATAGAAGGATGGCTAAAGGAGAAAGAAGGCAAGAAAAGGTGGATCAATGGTAATGGGAAGTTGGAGCAAAGGTGCAATCTTCAGAGCAACAGTTACAACTCAGTCATCTTATGGGTCGAATCATCTGGGTTGATCTGACATCGCACAAGCGCACACACACACACAGTGCTTCTAAATGAAGCGCAAGCTACGGTACAATTAGGCAAAGCTCTGGGAATTTGTTTTCAAAGAAAAGAAAAGGAATCCATTCATAAAATCATAGAGTTAAAAGAAGATGATATGGAAATAGTGGCTTAGAAGGATGTGGTTGCTCAAGATTAAGCAATTGCATCAGGTGAAATAAGGAGATTTGTTGTTGTTTTAATGAAGCTACTATCTTGGAATGTTAGGGGTTTGGGCAGAGCAGAGAAAAGGGGAAAGATAAGGAAGCAACTTAAAGAGAGATATTGATTTTGCCTTTATTCAAGAAATCAAGAAATCAGGTTTGTCAGCTGATTTTGTGAAGTCTTTATGGCCTACGGATGATTTGGATTTCATGATTGTTGACTCGGATGGGTTAGCTAGTGGGCTGCTATGCATCTAGAATCCAAATGTTTTCAAGCTTTCTCAATGTTGTAGCACAAGGAACTTCATCTTACTTCCAGGTGCTTTACTTCCAAATTTTGATTGTGTGCAAGTGAATGTGTATGCACCTAAAAAGGATAAAAGTACCTCCCAATGGATGAAAAGAATTATTTGGCTTACCCATGAATGGCGTAGAGGCCATGTATATATAATAGATTCATTATACAATCTAGGAAATGATATAAATAAGGAAACAATACTAAATAAGTGATTGATACAATCACAGATTATATACATAATACTAAAAATAAAAAGATTCTATGTAATCTAATTTTTGTACTCAACACTCCCCCTCAAGCTGGTGTGAAGATATTTAACAATCGCAGCTTGCTAATGGATGACTGGAAGAAGCTGGAAAAAACTCAACGGCTAGTCTAAATAAATGCTATAGAACAAATCTAGTAGTCCACTAAATAAAAAAGGTCAAAAAGTGCTTAATACATCAGCACCACACCCTAGAAAAGGAAAAAAAATAGAGACTAAACTGTCCTAGAAGAGTTGCCGAAGCATCTATGGCCAGGAAACACCCTAGTCGACAGCCAATAAGACACTAGTCAGCATCAAAGACTGAAGCTAATGCTGGGAGATAGTTTATGGTCGTGCCGGACTGTTGTAAAAACTGGTCGGAACTAATGTCGAAATAGTTTAAGGGGTCATGCTGGAGCGTTGTAGGAACTAACCGGAATCAATGTCGAGACAGTTTAAAGGAGTCATGCCAGACCGATGTAGAGAACTGGATATTGAACCAGCATATGACACACACATAACTTATGATGTGATGCTGAACGATGATGGCAATAGATGGTTGAGTGCGCCAAGGGGCGACTTATTAGAAAGTGCACTAAGGGGCGACTTTGGTGGTGCGCAAGAGGGGGCGACTTTAGTTGTACCCCAGAGAGAGCAGCTTGGGTTGTGCGCTAGATGGTGCGGCTTAGGTGGTTCACATAGTATATCACCATGCTCACCATGATATAGGTATAATACCCTCCATCAAACTCAAATAGCTTTGAAGATAGAAACCTAATTGAGATTGAAATAAAGTGAAAGACAAAGTAGAACAGAAACACACAACAACAACAAAAAAAAAATGGATTGCGAGTAAAAAAAATATGATAGAGATAATTGGGATAGTAATAAACTAGTGGATAGAGGAAGTGATCTCCACGAAGTGATACAAAAACAAAATATAACAGTAGAATGGGTTGAGGTCTGGTAGGCGGCCAAGGCAAGGTTGTCGCCCGCCGATGAAGCAAAATTACTAGGTACTTAACCTAGCTTTGATACCAAAAATGATGAAAAGAATTATTTGGCTTACTCATAAATGAGGTAGAGGAGCAGCTTGGGTTGTGCGCTAGATGGTGTGGCTTAGGTGGTTCACATAGTATATCACCATGCTCACCATGATATAGGTATAATACCCTCCATCAAACTCAAATAGCCTCGAAGATAGAAACCTAATTGAGATTGAAATAAAAGGAAAGACAAAGTGGAACAGAAACACACAACAACAAAAAAAAAAAAAGAAAAAGGATTGCGAGTAAAAAAAATATGATAGAGATAATTGGGATAGTAATAAGCTAGTGGATAAAGGAAGTGATCTCCACGAAGTGATACAAAAACAAAATATAACAGTAGAATGGGTTGAGGTCTGGTAGGCGGCCAAGGCAAGGTTGTCGCCCGCCGATGAAGCAAAATTACTAGGTACTTAACCTAGCTTTGATACCAAAAATGATGAAAAGAATTATTTGGCTTACTCATAAATGAGGTAGAGGCCATGTATATATAATAAATTCATGATATAATTTAGGAAACGATATAAATAAGGAAACGATACTAAATCAGTGATTGACACAATCACAAATCATATCCATAATACTAAAAATAAAATGATTCTATGTACTTTCAACACTTTCTAGATTAAAATCTAGGTTTGAGAAGCCTTGGTGTCTAAGGGGGATTTTAATGAAATCAAGAATTTAGGGGAGGGAAAAGAGTGTTCTAGAAGTGATAGGGGAATGAAGGAATTCAATGATTTCATTGAGCTTATGGAATTATTTGATTTGCCTATGCTTGGAAGGCAATTTACATGGTGCAATTCTTGTGAAGGGGGAAAATGAAGTAGAATTGATAGGATCTTGATGTCAATAGAATGGCTGAGGAGGTTTGAATTTAAGTTATGGGGTCTTCCAAGGGGAATCTCTGACCATTGTCCATTACTTTAGATGGAGGATGGGAGGGATTGGGGTTGTCACGGCCCAAACGGCCCCTATAGGTTTGGCATCATGATTGGCTGATAATTTGAGATTACCAAAAGCCTACTTAACAGTAATACAATAATAGGGGCTACGGAAGCCAATAATTAATAAAATATAATATCCAATGATCTATGCAGACTTAAATGGAATAAAACAAACCAGTATATAGACATATGTACATATGTCCATGTCAAGAGGGATTGGGGTGGAGGATGGGAGGGATTGGGGTTGTCACGACCCAAACGGCCCCTATAGGTTTAGCACCATGATTGGCTGATAATTTGAGATTACCAAAAGCCTACTTAACAGTAATACAATAATAGGGGCTACGAAAGCCAATAATTAATAAAATATAATATCCAATGAGCTATGCAGACTTAAATGGAATAAAACAAACCAGTATATAGACATATATACATACGTCCATGTCAAGCTTAGGTACACAAAACATAATCATGACTTAGGAATTAAATCCCATTAACAAAATAAAACTAGTCATAAACAATTTCTAAAGGGTGAACTCTGAACCACCCAAAAAGCCTTGACGCTTGACAGTTTGGAACCTCGCGGTGAGGCACGGTATTTGGCTTTAAAAAACAGAGTTTAGGTTGACGTCATTCAGTCCGCTCTTGCACTTGATCACCTACATACATATATAAATCAATGAGCTAGAGCCCAGTGAATAACGTTAGTGTAAAGAGATTAAATGAATGAGGTCTATAACTTATAAAAATCAAAACAATGTTCTTAACATGATCAAAGTATTTTCCAGATACTTGTAATCAGAAATAAAGTTCCTCGAACCTTTAACCCTTTCATAGTTTAAGACATACCGCGGTACATTTCCAAAAACTTTAATAAACCTTTGACAAAATTCCATACAGAATGTTTGCACCAAAACAAAGCATTTATTATATATACACATTTAGAATTCATAAAGTTCATCAACCATATAGAGTTACTTACATTCCGGTGTACAATTATACTAAACAGAATATTAGCAAAATGACCATAAAGGACCAAGGACATAGGCATAATGACCACTACGGATTGACATATACATCATGATCGCAATAGATCAACGTATACATAACGATCGCAATTGATCGACTTAGACATAACAACCACAACAGGTCGACGTATACATAACGATCACTATGGATCGACTTAGACATAATGGAGATTTCCGAAAATCAAACCACATGTGCATGGTGTCACTTTCGATGATCAAATAGGGAATCTCATTCATTCTTATCAAACATAAGTTTTTAGAAAACCTATCATATCATAATTATTTCAAAATTCCATAGAAAAACTTAACACTGTCTAAGTCGATCAATTGCGATCGTTATATATATGTTGATCCGCTACGATCGTTATATAAATGTCGATTCATTACGATCATTATGTATATGTCAATCCGTTATGATCGTTATGCCTATGTCCTCGGTCTTTTGTGGTCGTTTTGCTAATATTCTGTTTAGTATTATTGTACCCCGAAATGTAAGTAACTCTGAACAGTTGATAAACTTTATGAATTCTAAATGTGTATATATGATAAATGCTTCGTTTCGGTGCAAACGTTCTGTATGGAATTTTGTCAAATGTTTAATAAAGCTTTTGGAACTGTACCGCGCTATGTCTTAAACTACGAAAGGGTTAAAGGTTTGAGGAACTTTTTTCTGATTACAAGTATCCGGAAAATACTTTGATCATGTTAAGAACATTGTTTTGATTTTATAAATTATGGGCCTCATTCATTTAATCTCTTCAGACTGACGTTATTTACTGGGCTCTAACTCATTGATTTATATATGTATGTAGGTGATCAAGTGCAAGAGCAGACCTAATGGCGTCAACCTACCCTCTGTTTTATGAAGCTAATTGATGTGCCTCACTTCGAGGTTCCTACTGGTCAAGCTCTAAGGCTTTTGGGTGGTGCGGAATTCACCCTTTTGACATTGTGATTAAGTGTAATAGTTTTGGTTTAAGATCTTTTGTTTTGTTTAATTATGCGAATGTGTTTGTACTTATGTATGAGATGGTGTATATAAATATCTATCTACTGTATATCTGCTGTGTTGTTCCATGTAAGTCCCACAGCTCATCGGACGATTTATTTTAATATTGGCTTTCGCCAATCCCTATTACTGTTTACTGTTAAGTAGGCATTTGGTAATCCCAGATTGTTGGCCGGTTACGATACTAAACCTACATGGGCGGGTTTGGGTCGTGACAAGAAGGAAATTCACATTCTCATATTTGGTTATACCTATTAAACTCATGGAATGAAATAAATTTTTATTATTTATTTATAATTTTAACAAGTTAGTAACAAATAAATTAAATTTTTTATATAAATCATGATAATATTAATAGTTATGAAAGTGATGGTGTAAGTTATAGTAGTGGTGGTACCGGCAGCAGCAGCATCAATGGTGGTGATAACAATGATAATAAGATAGTGGTAGTAGATTATAGTGGCCTTAGTGGTAGTGGTAAGGTGGTGTTGTGGTTGCGATGTTTGTGGCGGCCAACGACAATAGTGGTGGTTGTAGTGGCAACATCGGTAGTATGGCAGTGGTAGTATGGTGATGTGGTGGTTGTGGCGGTGATTGTGGTAGTGGTGGTTGTGGTGGCAATAGGGTGGTGGTGACGGTGGGGAGGCGATAGGGTGGTAAGAGAATGGAATGGTAGTAGTAGTTAAATAATAATAATAATAATAGTAAAATTTTATCGTAATTCCACGTTGGAATGGAATGGCCATTCCTTAGATTAAATAAAGGAATAAATGTTCACACATTTTGTTAGAATAGCCATTCCAATGGAATGACTATTCCCACTTAAATAAGACGTACCAAACAAGGGAAAGTGGATGAAAAGTTAGAATGGGTATTTCATTTCAACCCATTCTATCGTACCAAATAGGCTCTACAAGCTACAAGATCCACTTAGTTTTTGTATTTTATATTTAATATATGGGTTCGTTTGGGAAGTGAATTGGCTTTTTGGCTTTATAATTTTTTTGGTTATTTTAGCCTGAGGCTAAAAAGTCTTGTTTGTGAAGGACTTTTGGTTGTTTTTGGCTTTTTTAGGTTTTTGTGAGAAAAAAATGTAATGATTATGGGTTTGATGTGATATTTTATCTTATTGGATTAAAAAGCTTATTTTATTTTTTGTGATTAAAATAGCCAAAAAAACCCCAACTTTTGCTTCCCCAACGAAGCCATAATGTTACCATAAAACTTAGAATCTGTTTGGCATCATTTAAATAAGAGTTTGTTTGGCATGATCTATATTAGTACATTTTTTTTAAATCTTTTTATTTTTTTTAGATTACATCACCTCTCTACTTTTTGTATATTTTTTTATAAAAATCAAAAAGTGTACTTATTTAAATCATCCCAAACAATCTCTAAGTACACTTATTTAGGTAAATGCATTTATTTGGGTCATATCACATCTCTATTTTTCTACACATCTTTTCACAAAAAGTCAAAAAAATATATTTATTTAAATCATTCTAAACAAGCCCTTAATAAATTATAATTATAATAAAAATAAAATACAACCCATAATTGATATAATGAAACTTCAAATAAATATACGAGAAATATAACTAAAACATATATAGAGAAATTCAAACCAATGATCCCCTAATGAAACGTAAAGGTCATGACGGGCACTATTCCCATTGATTACCTTTGTCCAATCCTAATCATAAGAATCAAAGAATAAAATCAGCAATTATGCAAGGAGAGAAAATTATAACTAGTAACTCATTTTATTTATTTATTTATTTGTAAATACACTTTTAATTCCTATAATTTCATCCAAATATTTTAATTTAAATAATTTAGTTTTTTATATTTTTAATTTAGTTTCAATTTGGTCATTTCATTAAACTTTAACATTAAAATTAACGATTTTGTGACACGTGTAGCTCTCCTAAGACATGTGCGTAAAAGAAATTGATAGTTATTTGTAGTGACGGGCACAAAAATTGTGCAAAGGGGAAGCTAAGCAAAATTATTTAAATTTTAGAGGAATTGAAGTAAGATTATATAAATTTTGAAAATCAAAATTTTAATTTATTTTACAAAATCTCAAAATGACATGAAAGTAATAGGATTTTTCAAAGGTTTGGGGTGACTAAAATACTAATTTATTTTATAATTACTAAAAATTCATGAAAATAATAAAAATTTTAAAAATTTAGGATAGTAAAAGTAAAAGTAAAATTATTTAGATTTTAGAGGAGTAAGAGTAAAATCATATATATATGGAACGGATCAAAATGCAAATTTCTTTTATAAATATTCAAAATTGTATGGTGAAAGTGCAATTTTTGAAAAGTTTTTTTTTTTTTTTGGGGGGGGGGGGGCACCCGTATAGCAAGTATATCTACTCAAGTGGGAGGTGGCTTCCTCGTCAAGACTGTGGAGTGACATTCTTACATTCCGTTTGGATCGTGAGGTGAGGTGAGAAAAAAAATGATTGTAGTTTTTCACCAAAAAAAGAAAAGAAATGATTATGGTTTCTCACCATTATGTTTGGATGAATAAAAGAGAAGAGTATTTGATTTCTCACCTATCTTGTTTGGATAGAGTAAATAAGATAAAAGAAAGGAAAATGTTGTATTTCATTTTACCAAAATAACCTTTCATATTAATAAGCTATGTTTTTTCATAAGGGTAATTTTAATATTTTAGAAAACTTTCATTAATCCAATTCCTTTCTCACCAAATCTCACCACTTTTGGTGAGAAACAAAACATCGGTTTGGTGAGAATCCTTTTCTCACCACCTCTCATCATTTCTCACTATTTTTCACTTACTTAACCATCCAATCAAGTAAAGGGGTTTCCTATTCTCACCATTTCTTTTATTTTCTTACCAAAGCCCTCCATCCAAACGGAATGTTAGTGTTGCTCAGTCCAATCCCAATTTGCTAAACTTCTTCTTGGATAACTCTGAAATTGTTATTGGTAATGGAAATAGAGTCAAGTTCTGGGAAGACAAATGGGCTGGTAATTGGTGAGTGAAAGATAAATTCCCTAGACTGTTTTCACTATCACTAGAGAAGGATGCATCTCTGAGAAGTATGGTGGATGGGAGAGAAGGTTTAGAAGTGTTAGGATCAAAGACACCCAGAGAATTATCTCACACACACAGAGAACACAATATTTACGTGGTTCGGCCCAATGCCTACATCCACGGACAGAAATGAGAATTATCACTAAAATGGAGCAAAAATACAAATACAGAGGAGGAGATGAAACTCACTCAACTCACAGCTCTCACTCTCAATTTCTGATGATACAAACCCCTCCTCACTCATCTCAATTTATAACCAAGAGAGGAGGAGTAGGTGAAGTGCTAGCCATAATTGGCCAAGGTGGTGCCACCCCCACTATCTTCCTTTAGTGAGTTAGTGTTGCCCTCCACCACCTGGTGCCATCCACACTATGTGGATGGTGGGCTCCTTACCATGTGGGTAGTGGATGGAGCCAACAATTCTCCCCCTCCACGCCCATATGGACAACTGACTTTTCAGCTTGGACTGCCAAGACACAGCTCCCCCTAATTGGATGCCCTGTACCCCCTGCTCGGGATACCCTTGCATTACCGTGCAACTCCTTGCATGATGAACACGGGAGCAACTAGAAAACTTCAGAGTGTGACACATCAACATCCTCAATTTTCCTTGCTCGGAGCTTATTTCTGAACAACCAGCCTTTGCATTCTGCACTTCAGAACAACTTCCCAGCGATCTCATACGCCCGTTGTCTGTGCTGCAATCCCTGATGTTCGGTTCAGTCTCACTTGTACGTCCGTACTGATGTTTGACAGTTAGCCCTTCTGCCAAGACAACTTCCACCGGTCTGTACAAGTTACCACTATGCAACTCCGTGCATAGTGCTCGCACCCATGGCTTCTGGTCTCCCTGCGTCAAGCTTGCTTGAGAGATCTGCATCAACTCTATCATCTGCTGCCATGGAACTAAAGAAACCACCATAGAGAAATAAGACTTGCCACTCCTTGGCACGCACTCTTGCGTTTTACCTGTCTCAATTTCTCAGTCTGGAAGTTCCTGTGAACTGTCAACAACCCGCTGCTGCACACTCTTCTCGCGCCTCTGTACGACACTCTAGCGTACCCTTGCACTGTTGCACGTCTGCAATTGTACTTCTGCGCTTAGTATGCTCCTCTACAACTATTGTTCTACATGTCCACATACCATTAGTACCTACTCGTATACAGGAGCTCCAACAGCCACAGCATTTCCCTAAGCCTGAACTAGTTGCCAAATCATCTATCTGTCGATGAATGGTCTTCTCTTTTGATTGAACCAGATCCTCCAACGAACTCAACAACCAGGAAAGTTCCCAGGAAAGACTGGTGGGGTCACAACCGGTCCCACTTAAGAACCAGTCTCCTTAGACAGTGTCTTTTTGACAGAACTTTCCTAGACCTTTGAGATAATCATGTCTGCAATCCTCTGATCGCCCCTGACCAATCCTGATCTCCCTCGATCTGCCATTTGATCAAGCCTGATCTCCTCTGGTCTTCAATGATCTATCTCAATCTATATCTGGTTGTCCAATCTGGTCAGAATCTGCCCATTCTAACCTCTTCAGTGAATCCGCAACATTCCATAATATCCGGCAACCTTCCTTCGACTATTGAAGATGACAAACACCCATGTTTTGACAATCTTTCAAAACCGTTAGGAATTTCACTATTCTGACCTCGCGGTTGCGTCCGGAGCGGTCCGTTTAGCTAGGACCAACCTTCGCTGCACTTCCAGGGACCTCACTGAAAAACTATCCCCGAAAGCTGGGCCACACCACAATTTTCTGAAAATTCTGGGCCAAATTGCAATTTTCAGAAGTTCAGGGAATATTCCGTGTACCAACAGAATATTCCGTCCACTGCCCCTGACGCCGTCTGCCACTTTAATCTGCCTTCTTTTTACAGAAACTCCATCTCCAAAATCTGACCGTACGGATGTGTCCGAAATATTCCAAATAGTTTGAAAACACTATTGGCTCACCCAAATCGGACCTCAAATGGCTTAGATGTAGCCAAAACAATTTTAACGGTTCAGATCGGCAGAATCTGGTGCGCCTGCGAAGCACCAGATTACTCCTCCGGTTATGCTGACGTCAGGCTGACGTCATCGGCTCAGTCAGCGGCTCGGTCAGCGGCTCGGGCTCGGTCAACGCGGCTCCTGCTCGAGCGGCTTGGTGCGCGCGCGTGCGGCGCGTGTCGCGCGTCAACTCACGCGTCGTCTACCTTCGTCTGCGCGTGTAGCGCGTGTCTGAGACTGGGACCACGCGCCGGGAGCCTGCACGGCGCTTGTAGGCGCGTGACACGACTGGGATTCACGCGCCAACTTCCAGAGGCGCGTGAGGGCGCGTCCGGCCTCCGTTGGGTGTCTGCTTTATATTTCTGGACCCCTCTCGTCGAGCCCTTGCTCCTGGTATGCTCAAAATCTGATTTCGAGCAATTCGATTTCTGGGCAGTTTCGGAACAACACTCTGTTTTTCCGCAAAACGTACAACACCGGCTCTGATACCACTTTGTTAGGATCAAAGACACCCAGAGAATTATCTCACACACACAGAGAACACAATATTTACGTGGTTCGGCCCAATGCCTACATCCACGGACAGAAATGAGAATTATCACTAAAATGGAGCAAAAATACAAATACAGAGGAGGAGATGAAACTCACTCAACTCACAGCTCTCACTCTCAATTTCTGATGATACAAACCCCTCCTCACTCATCTCAATTTATAACCAAGAGAGGAGGAGTAGGTGAAGTGCTAGCCATAATTGGCCAAGGTGGTGCCACCCCCACTATCTTCCTTTAGTGAGGTAGTGTTGCCCTCCACCACCTTCTTTTACCACCTGGTGCCATCCACACTATGTGGATGGTGGGCTCCTTACCATGTGGGTAGTGGATGGAGCCAACAAGAAGGACGGTGTCTTAGTTTCAGAAGAGCCTTATTTGCTTGGGAAGATGATGAAATTGGAAGACTTAATTCATTGCTATCACCTATACAGCCTTCCTTTTCAACTAGAGATGATTGCATCATGTGGCAGGCTTCTCCTTCAGGTATGGTTAGTGTGTTATCATTATATAGTAGAAATGTCCATATGCATACTATGGAGGTCACTAATCTTATTTGAAATAGCATCTTCAATTCTTTGGGTGGCTAGCCTGGAAGGGTAGAATCAAAACCACAGATTAAATTCAAAGATTAGGTGTTCTGGACCCTAATGCTAGAAATGAATGTGCCTTTTGCAACTCTGATCTGGAAAGAGTTAACCATGTTCTAATGTTATGTCTTGTCATTTGGAGGGTGTGGTCAAATTTGATGAGATGGTGGGGAATACAATGGGTGATACCTGAAAGGGTGTGTTTGTTTGGACGGACTGGATAAGGAGGGATTGTAATCCATCGGACTGTTAGTTCTGGGATACATTGTCCCGGAACTATTTGGTTGGATTGGATTTGTATCCTATGTTTGTTTAGTCATGGGATTAGATGTCTGGATTGGACTATTTTTAGTAAATCCAATGTTTGGTTAGACAGACTGGATAATGATAAATATTCAAAAGACTATTTTACCCTTATAATCTATAATTTATAATTTAACAACACTAAAAAAATTTAATTTATAAGGCCACAATTTTTAATTTATTATTTTCAATTAAATTAAATTTATATTTTACATTTTATATTTTTATTTAATATATAATTTTAAATAACGACAATAAAAAAATAATTTTATTTAATATATAAATTAAATTTTCAACAACACTAAAAAAATTTAATTTATAAGGCCATAATTTATAATTTATTATTTATTATTTTTAAATAAATTTAATTTATAACTTAATTTATAAGGCCATAATTTATTATTTATTGTTATTCGATACTTCAATTTTTTAACCAAACATCGGATTAATAACTTGATTAGACTATTAGTCCAATCTTATGCACATGTCTGCCCAAACAAGCATGGCCTTTGTGTCTTCTCAAACTTGGTGCAGCCGAAGCATCAAGCTGATGTGGTTAACCCAAACACAGGAGCTTCCATTTCTACATCACAAAATTTCTCACTTCACACCATTTTCTTATTCAAATATCAAGTACCGGACAAAAATTAATAGTTCAAATATCAACTACCAAATGGAAAATCCCAATTTAATACTTGATATCCGAATAATTGATTTTCTGTTATGTAGTTGATATTTGATTTATTAATTTTTATTCAATAATTGACATATGAACATAAAAAATTAGTATTAGTTGAAAAAAAAATGGGTGCACAAATGGAAGTTTCCCCCAAGCCTAGTCCTAAGGACATCGTAATTCCCAAGTCCTATAAATATGTGATGTAATAAAATAAAATAATAAAAAAGGAGGAAATTGATTCCATCTATAAGCCACTCATCAAATTTGAGATTGAGGTCACTATAAATAACAGCATAGGCCTTTTGTGAAATGAGCAAAAAGGAAAAAAAAATAACAATAATAACGGTCATCATACAAAGGGAAAAACAAAGGGATAAGCGGCAACACAAAAGAGAAACAAAGTTAGCTTAAATAATTAATTGTTAAAAATTGGGTAATAAATTCAACAGCATAATATAAGCTTTCAAGCTAAAAAATTCTTGGAAGAATGGAACTATAAATAATTAATTTCTAATACTTTTATATAAATAATACATTTAAAATTATAGAAATATTTTATTAGTAGAGTAGGCTAGAAATCTACATTCCAAGTCCAACCCAAAAATTAAACAAGCCTAAAAAACTGACCCTGCTTGACTTGTGAACTGATATATCAACCATAAACCTATGTCTATCCGTAGTCACAAATGAAATAGTGCTTACAAAATAAATAAAGATGTGAGGACTGTCTTGAGAAATAAATAAATAAAGTCACACTCTCCTGATTAATTAAACATTCCAAATAATTTGTGAACTAATATGATCTTAAAGTTCTGTCTCCAAGAAACATTGAATTTAAATCTCATAGTGGTTCATGAATTCCAAAGCTAAGGCTGTCCGTTTTGATAGAAATTATATGTTTTCTATATTTTTTGGTGATTGATTTGATTGAAAATGAAAATTAATGAAAAATACTTTTATAGTCAACCAAAAAAAAAAAAATGGTAGAAATTATATCTTAGAAGGTGCACATTGTAAATTTTTTTTTTTTTTTTTTTGGTTATTATTATATATTATATTTTTTTGGTTATTAGTATATATTATATAAAGTCTAGACTTGATTTGGTATAAACTATCACATTTTTTATTTTTATTTTTGCAAAATACCTTTGATAAATACTCTAAAAATTCTCTTAAATTCAACTGATTCAATTAACTGCTATAATTATCAATCCAACTCTTTCAAATACTACTAACTATTATTTTTAATTTTAGACATGCCCTCTAGTATTTATTTATATTAGATTAGAATAAAGATGTTCATTCTAAGCATGTAATGGGAGAGATGATCTAAAAACCAGTAAAATGTTAGAAAGTAGAGAAGTACCTGTAGTTCGTGACTGTGGAATTGGCGGTGTGTACCATTTCAGTATAAGCTCATATGGCTGCGGGCCAAATATGCCAGATGGAATTGGCGATGAAATCTTAAAGGACATCTTTTTGCAAGATAATAAGGTATAATAGAACATAAAATCGTCCGACCGAAAGGCATAAACTTTGTGATTGGGGTCACTACTAAGACAAGTGATCGGTATGTATGAGATTGGCTTAGTTGAGGAGCAACTGAAAAAGCTATAATTATAGTTGTAATCCGTTGCCAGTTGGAAGGGAGAGGTAGTAGGAGACAAGCTGAGGTTTTGAAGCAGGTAAGGAAAGCAGTCATGAGGAGGGTCATATATATATGTGTGTATCAACCGAGACATGTAGTCGATTTCTTTGACTGCTACTTTAACAGAGAATGGAAGCTCAAGCATAGTGAGGTTTTCATGATCACAAGAAAGATCGAAGCCAGGATAGCCACAGTGTTCTGGTGGCTGCTGCTGCTGCTGCTGCTCATTGTCCTTTAGCCAGAATGGGGGCCGTATCTCTGGGCCGTGGCTATTGCACCATTTTGGCTTGCAATCCTCACGTCCTGTTGCTGCTGCTCCTGCTCTGAGTCCTGCCGAGAGATCGAGAAACAAGAGCAGAATTAGTAAGGTAGCCATTTGGTCTCTTGCTAACTCTCTCTCGAGTTACAAATTTTTGAGATTAAAGTAATCAATATTTTATCTCTTCAATTCGAATGATGAATTTAGGGCAAATTCCACTATCCCTTATCCCTCTCATATGAAAATATTCACATAATTTTGTTGGAGTTTGTGCATTGAAATATACCGTTAAATATTTTGTCTAACTTAACAAGTGTAAAAAACGTGTCAGACATGAGAAGTTATATGCTCATTTTTAAATTTTAATGGGATAAATTGCAGATGAAATAAAGTACAAGGAGTTAAATTACATTTTGTCTTCCAAACAAATAACGAAAATAGTCGTAATTTACACACTTAGTTTACTTATATAGAGGATATTTTGTTCTTTTTTATTAAATCGTTAACAGGCTTAACGGTGCACTTCACTCCATAAACTATAAAAGAGTTATGTAGTTATTTCCAAATATGAAAGGTAATCCGTACATAAGCCAAAGGAAAATGTTTGAGGGCCACAATTTTTGTGGCCACAATGGCTCAAAACTGCCAAAACGACGTCGTTTTGGCATGTTTTGCACCCAAAACGACGTTTTAGCAGTTTTGAGCCATTGTTGCCACAAAAATTGTGGCCCTCTAGCATTGTTGTAAGCCAAATTATAAGGGGACAAAATGAAATTTGTCCATAATTTTTTTTTTTTTTTTGGTATTTAACAGGGCTAAGCCCAGAAATTTGCCCAGGAATTTACTTAAAGTAAAAATCATGAACTGCATACAATATGAGCAATGTGACATAGATATTACGGATCATTTAATTACGAAAATTATGACTTGTTATCATATTTGTCATGGTAAATTATATTTTACCTCAATTATATTTGGCCACTTTATTTATTTTAATTTTTATTTTGATCCGTCATGTATCAAGTTTTTCTTAATTTATTTCTAAAACTACCTTTTATTAAAAATTAAATAAACAATAACATATTAACACTTCACGTAATAACATATTAACACTTCACGTAGTATTAAAAAAAATGAAAAAAGAATAAGAGAGACTTTCCAAGCCGGATGCAGCCTGTTAGGTTTTATTTATTGGCAATCCCGTTTGACAAAACTCCTTTCAGTTGTATTTATTTTCGCACTTTTATTTCAGCTCGCGGCCGAAGCAAAATGCAAAATTGCAGTCAAAATTGCATGTCCGTCGTTGCTCGCTCGAGCCAAGGAGTTCTCGCTCGAGCTAGGTCTCGCTCGAGCCAAGGAATGCGCGCTCGAGCCA